CTCCCTGTGAAATTTCATCGGAGTTAGTCAGCGGGATCGCCCGGATCACGCCGGAGAAGCCTTATGGTCTCGGATACGTGCGGGAGGTTGAAGACACAATCTCAGCCGTTGATTCCGATCAATGGCTCGGATTAGATTCTGCGGTATTAGAGCGCGTTTAATCCAAGCCGTCCGATCCGCCATCCGACGGCTATGGTTAATCAGACCGTTAACGGTTAGCGCCAATGATTGCCCAGCCAATCGGCGCGCGGCGTGTGTAAAGGGGTGCTGACTGTGTAATGGCCCAATTACTAATTCCAGAAATTCAAGGGAACTTCAAAAAATCATAAATCTCTCCACACTTGTCCAAATCAGGTGTTCTTAGGCTCATTGGAAAGGTCTCATGGAGATCTACAAAACCCCCATGGTTCCAGGCCCTGGTTAGGTTAGTGTTAGGTTTAATTTTAGTTTGATCATTTTATCAATTTCTTTAATTACTCTTTAAATACAAGTCCACCAGGCCTGGAATTTTGAGAGATTGAAATTGAACATGTCTTTGACATGTCCAAATTTTATCTCCCCATTTTAAGATGTTCAAGGGCATTTTCCCCAAATTTTGAGTTTAAGGGTCATGGTTTGACCCTTATATTCAAAATGGGGTATAGACCTATCCAATGGGATTTACGGTGTGATTCTTTGTGTGATGATGATGTGTATGATAAGCTGTGTAGAGCCACTAATTTTGCCCCAATCCTAGCTTAGGATATATTCCTAATGATTTGAAGGTGACTTAGAGCTCACCTTGGGTGGTTTAATTAACCACCTTAGAGTACTCCATTTGAGCTTAAATTTGGTGGGTTTAGTCCTTAGGGTCAGGTGATCTTATGGTCCAAATTCCATCAAATTTGGAGTTCATTTGGTTCCCCAAGTAGGAGCCTAAAAAAAAATCCTTCTTAAAAATGGCCTATTAATCCTAATCAATTGATAATGAACTGTCTTTAACTCATAAAATCTATTAAAATGTTTATAATTGTCCATAGTTAATCTCACAATACATGAGAATTGAAACCCTCTTAAATTGACTTCTAGATTTATCTTAATTTAAACCTTAGGTAGAATCAAAGGTTAACTAGCTTTATTAATTCAAAAAAACATTAAAAATTCCAAAAGGAGCTTTAGACACTTGATGATCTGTCCTTAGGTCATTTATGACCTTTGGAACTGATCTCAAGGAGTTTGGGACTAATTTGGGTTCAAATCCTTAAGCAGCCCCTTTAGTTGTAATAATTTGGTAATCCCTAAGAATATGTATAACTTCTAAAATCCACTATTAATTATAGAAAAATTTAAACTAATTAAACTCAATGGATAATGACTTCAATTAGAATCTAGTATCCTCTAAAAATATTAAACCTCCATAATTTGGTCAAAATCAAGGACTCAATATTTTAGGTGACCTTAAGTCAAAATCGGGCCAAAACTTCTAAAATTCATAACTTTTGATAGAAAACTCTAAATTGAATGTACCACATGTCTAACAACTCATAATTAGGTCTAGTATTTATTAAAAATCTGAAACCCTTAAGATTAACTCTAATTTTGAAAGTCAAATTTTGACCCTTTAGTTAACATATCCGGATAATTCTTCAAAATCTATCAACTCCCTCAAATTCCAGAATTTTCTTAATAGGTTATTAAAATTCTCAACAAACCCATTGAAATCAATAACCAACTTCCCTTAGTATTAATCCACTCCTTTAATTTCAACCAATTTAAAATAACTTAATTAACCCCGATTGCTACTAGGTAACCTAGGCCTACGAGGCTATTAGCTTAGCCCCAAGGAAGGTGAAATAAACTTTACGGCCTCGGTGTGAAATAAAGGTAATAATCAATTAACTTTTAAAATACATTTAATTAAAATTCCTAATTCA